TAAATAAAATTGATTTTTTTATTATATTAATTTATTTTTTATCTTATTGATTTTATTATCTAATAAACTTTATTTTATGAGTAATTACATGATATTATGATTGGAAATCGACATTGGAATCGAAAGGGTTAAGTCAGTAAACGGTAAAAAATTGTTTCGTTCGAATTGGATTATTAAATTAATTCTAAGCAAGTCACAGAATTTCAGGATTTTCTGTGTACATGTGTTCGATGTATCTTTTCTTATGTTTTCGCACGTGTTGCGTGTTTTTATTAGAGAACAAAAATTCGGATCGTAACGCAGCGAATAATTGCGCCCGGGCCATTATTAGATTCATCGATTACACATCGATCGATATAGCGGCGGTCAGCCAGTATTTTTGCGATCGTGGTTATGCAACGCGCCCCTCGACTCTCGTGGATTAATGGTCCACACCAGATTTACTCAGTGATTAGATATACCGGCCACAATAAGTATTGGCACATCGCTGCGTGCGGTTCAACATTCATACACTCGTTAATAAAATAATAGAGAGGCCGTATCGCGAATTCTAATTATCCAAATACTCTGCCAATTCTGTCTGTTTTAGTAAAATCAGTTTATTAATGATATTCTAAAAGCAGAGCTTGAATAACTCTTTTTATATCTTATTTTTTTATCTACGACACGTTTTCGTTGATTTTTAATTAACAATTCTGTTTGTTTTAGTAAAATCAGTTTATTAAAGGGACTCTAAAAGCAGAGCTTGAATAAATCTTTTTATATCTTATTTTTTTTATCTACGACACGTTTTCGTTGATTTTTAATTAACAATTCTATTTGTTTTAGTAAAATCAGTTTATTAATGATACTCTAAAAGTAGAGCTTGAATACTTCTTTTTATATCTTATTTTTTTTTATGTAAGACACGTTTTCGTTGATTTTTAATTAACCCTTTTAGTACCGGCGAACGTAGCTAACAATAAGCGAAGAATACCGGGCCGAATCGGCGAATTTGCAGAGGTT